ATAGCCCTGTCACAGAGAGAAGCTTAACAAAGGCATTCTCTCAGAAAAAGAGTTTGTGGTTCTCAGAAAGGCATCTAAGGCCCAAATATAAACCTAAACATGTGCAGTGTGCTCAGTGGAATTGACAAAGGTTAATTCTATATTTATAATTATACACACTTAGAGAGACAGTGAAAAAATATTGTAAAATTGTTTTTGCCAAGATTGATTCAGGTTTGGAAATAAAACAAAGTGAAATAAAACTTTCTAAATATTTATTTGGATAATCAGTCTACAGAGTGAAAAACTGGAAAGAAATACCTGAAAGAAGTTCTGCTTTGAAATACCTGCAATTTCTTAGTTCTCATACAACTGTATATTTCAAAATACAAGATATACAGAGAATTTTCAGTTTCCTGTGTTCACTTTCAAGTTTATATGTATTCAGTGCTTCTTGTTTTCTAGACCTTTTTCTAATGACTTTTAACTAAATCATTAAATTTTGTGTTCTCTAAGGATATCTCTGGAAAACGCATGCTCTCTAAGTTCAGAACATACACTCTTAACCTTGTTAATTGTACAGAAAAAACATAGCAATTCCCCCTAGTTTAAGGGACAATGAGTTACTTATCTTCAATGGAAACAAAGTGAAAACTTTATTTCCTTCAGCCCTTAAGTATTGTATGTGTGAACGAAAAAGATCAATACAGCCAAGAATATATTCGCAAGAAAACACCACGAACTACTTTTATTGTTATTAATATAACAAACTAAGAAAACTGTACCTTGATTGATTCCATTCACATATGCAGTAGTATGGATGTAGTAGTAGGGTGATAAAGAAATTTAATTCAGAAGAATTGAAATATTGTAATAATTCAGATTATTGTATTATGTATTTGATTTCATACATGTTATTAATGATATACTACAAATAATGCAGTTTGCATTGTTTTGTTGCATCATATCAATGCAAATGATATAAACATGGCAAATACAACATTGTCTAGATGAAATTTACTGTTTTCAGATTAACATTTTGAGCAAAAGTATACAACTAGTCCATAGTCAAAATTAAATTCTCAGTAAAATTCAACTCCTAGAGTATGTGTACCCTTGTTTCAGGATATAAAGATGTCAATTCAGGAACAAATAAGCCCTTATCTGCTCAGGCTCTGATGTATCAGTTCAAATTCTGATATGCGTTAAGTCATTTGTTGAAAATACAGAAGTTTTTTTTTTTTTTGGTGCAACCATGCAATTTTGGGTAGGAACCTGTGGTTCTGTGGAAACCACTAACTGAACAGTAGAAAGGGCAAAGTAAGAGGAGCAAGGTTAGTGAAACAGCACTCCCTGGGCAGCCTTATTTTCACAATTTTACAGGCAAAACAGGAATGAATATTCAGTTTACCCAAGACCTGGATTTTTCATTATTACTTTTTGATAGAAAATTGAATATTGACAGAAGAAAATATCACTAGAGGGGTTTGTTTTTTTTTTAAGAATTCATGCATTTGTTCTCTGACTTAACATATTTTAGCATTTACTTTTAATATTCAGGGATTTAATAAAGCAATCACAAGATAAAAGGCAATTTTTCAACCTTTATACAAAGTTCAATACATCTCTTTTGATAAAGGCAGCTTAAGATCTGCATTTAACCTTGAATAAATTATCTTATTTGGGGATCCAGGTATGCTGCAGGTAAAAGTGGTGGTTTCAGCATCTGTAAGCATACGTGAAATGGCAAACGGAGCCACACTTCACAATTGAATTGCTCCAGCAGAGAGTTCAGTTTAGCCTAGCTACTCAACAGACTCTCTGGGACTGTTATCAGAAGTGGTTCACTATCAGACTCAGTGGTGAATCTCGTGCTATCAGTGAACTTGTTTATCAGCTCCAGATCTACCTAACTAAAAGATAGCTCCAGCATATGCATAAGGACTCCACTCATGCCTCTTGGCTGGAATAGAGCACACCTGCTGCTGTCCCCTGTTACTAATACCATTAGTCCTCCCACCTAACTCTGCTCTGTGCTGACTAATGGAAAAGCAGTGATACCTTGACCTTCAGGGCTGAGTGCCTTACAGGGAGGCCTCCCAGAGGCCATTCTACAAACCATGTCACCAGTGCAGAGGAAATACACCCATTCTACAAATTTATTATTATTAATATGCTACAAGTAATATCAAGAATTCATTCAATGATGTCACTTTAATGTGTGTGTTCTTTTGGAGGAAAAGAGTAAATTTGCTTAAAGAGTAAGCTCTCCTTTTAGAAAATAAATAAGCAACATATGCATGTAAAAGACTGCAAAAACATCAGTTTCAAATGAGTTTTGGATTCCAGGGTACATTTTAACTCCTGTATCATCAAACTTAAATCATTACTGCTTCCACAGAAGAGGCAGAGAAAAGCATTCCCCTTTCTATCACCCAAAGTGAATGCTAATGGCTGGTAAGCAGGGTAGCTCTTCAGAATCTACTGTCTGTATTGAATAGGTCTCCATTGACTATAACGAGAGCTCAGACAACCTGGCTCACTTCTAGATTTCTACAGCACTGAGGTCCATTCTGTAAATGACAAAAAGAGCTGATGTCACGTGTAGATGCCACACGCCTGGGGAAACACCATGCAAAGACATTAGGCTGTAAAGCTTAATTCAGCTCCAGACAGTTTTTCCATCATTCCCTCATGACATTCACATTTGCATACACCACAAATTACCGAAATTTTAGCACAACAACCACTGAGCAACTTGGCAAGAAACTGGAATGTGAACATAGTTCACAAACGCTGCTAGATGAAAACCAAGTCCATATACATACCACTTTTTTATCTAGTGTTTTAACGTTAATAGATATAAGTAGACCCACAACACCAAAAATACTTTAGTTGAAATACTTTGTCCAGTTAATGTCTATCTCTTCTGCTGGTTTTAGGGCACTTACTGACAGGTCTATCTGTTTTTCATGAGTCTCACTGGACTAGTATGACCTTGTATTAGGCTACTGGTAGACTTTGCATCCTGTTCCTTTACAGTAGTTACACTTGTGTGCATTTTTTTCTGAGATTTGTTAGCATCTTTGAGTGAAATTAGGACCCTACTTGAGTTTCTCATTACTCTCACTTGAAACAAAACTTTCCATATTTACTTTAACAGAACCAGTGTTCTGCAATATGAAGACCCGTGCCAGCAAATATCCCAAATCATAACTCTCACACAGTAGCAGGACATGGAACAATAGACACCATCCATCCACAGAAGGGAACTGAGAAAAATGCACAGACCATGACTAATATTCTGAAACTTCTAAGAAAAAATATGCTCCCTGAAAGATTATACAGCCTGCAAATTTCACACCAATTTCATAAAGTCTACTTATTGGAATATTCATACTAAAGAGGTACATGCTTTAGGCATGATTTTAAAAGTAGTTGTTGTCCTAGATATTAAGGTCTAACAGAACACTTAAAATATTTATATATAGATAAAAGACAAAATATTCTAGTTAAATATTAGAAATTTACAGAAACTACTTTATAGGTGCCCACACCTTTCCATGGCAAGGTGGTATACGAAAAAATAAACCCATAGTCAAAATTCCCTTTTGTAGATGCCTTTCCAATTTTAGAAGGCAGAATCTGGCCTTACTGATTATTCATGGTAGCAGTGTTTGGTACTTAAATGGTCTTTTATGTACATATACGTTGGCTATTGTGTTGTTTCCCCCCCTCAAACTTCTGATCAATATCAAAGCTATGATATTTGCATTTATTTAGAAGTAATTCATAACTGAATGCTTGATTATAGATTTATCTTAGTTATTTATTAACATTTTCGGCTACTACTATAAAAGAAAGATTATGAACAAGATTTTGTAACAAATTGTACGTATAGTGAGTTGAAAAGTAAAAATATAAATTTGGAATATAGTTAAATATTACAGAATTTTTCATTACCTAGGATGATATTGCTACTCTGTTAAATGTTGAAATAATCTTAGTTTTACAGAAAAAGAGGAAAAAAAGACTACCTCGCATATTTATTAACACAAGAATAAACAAATTAAGAAAAATGGGAAACTGTCATGATCTCATTTATGAATGTACTTGGTACTTTTGTTATATACATGGGAGACAGATTTCAACAGACAGAATTTTCCACAGAGGCATTTAGAGTAAACATACTTTTCATTCCTGTCAACTTTTGCAGTATGCATATTAAAATTCTTCACAGATGGTTGACTGAAAACCACTGTAACATTTCTCTCTGATCATAGGTCATCACTTGCATGGTAAAAAGAATTTAAGAGATTTTAAGTATTTCAAAATAATTTTTTTAATTCATCAATGATGTTAATATAAACAACATGACTGAATCAAAATGAATGAGTTCAGATGAGCTACACTGAATTTCTGAATACATATCTTGATTTTCTTTTTTCCTCTGCAACAACCTGCTCCTATATGATAAAACGATTACATTTAAGTGACATTAAAAATGCTTTGCTTTGAAAAATTAAATTGTAGAGACATTATTCAGTTTAGCAAGATTGCCTGTACTGAAGAAAACAACAACAACAACAACAAAAAAAAAACAACAAAAAGAAAAAAAAATCACATTAGTTAATACCAAAAAGAATTTAAGCATATACAAACCCATTCCTTATTTTACTGCATTTTGCACATATCGCCAATCTTGTTTTTCTGGAGTTCACATCAAATGAAGAGTCAAATGTTTCATTCCCAGTGCTGAGGTCATTTAAAGTGTAAATATAAATGCTTTGAATCTCCTTTCTTTAGGAGAAGACATTTCTTTTAAGCAGTAAGCAAGGTTTCAGAAAAAAAAAAAAAATCATTTTTGACATGAAGGAAGTTTTCACTGTTAAGGTATTCTCAAAGCAAACCTCTACTGATTGCTAACTTGAACGGTGTAAGAATTAAACTTTGCAGTTTGAGACTGAAGAGAATAATTTACATCAGCTGTAAATTAAGAAAAAAAGATGAAAACCACCTACCTTTCGGGAATGGATTTCTTTCACGTATAGCGGAAGTAGAAATTCAGATATTCCTTCAAGTCGTATTCCTTTTTTAGTGACTCTCAAATTTCCCATTCCATCCTACAATCAATAATATATATATATATATATTTTCACTTTAGGAAATAACCTTATCCAGAACAAGATGAAAAGAACACAGTATCTGGCCTAATACCTAAAAATAATGAGTGATGTCCCACTGTCCCCAAATCTCTTGATGATCTTAGACAAGGTCTAGATGGGAGGATTTATATACAAAGCTTCACCTAGAATTGAGGTATTTAACTGTGCAGCTTGATGGTGAACTGCAACTATTATTCATTGGCTACACCTAATGCAGGGGTAGGTATGTAAATAACAATTATTCCTTCACTGTAGAGGTGAAGTTAGATCTTCAAGTACAAGTTCCAAGCCAAACAATTAATTAATTATCCCTAAAATATGTATATAACATTTGGTAAAGCAATCTAATATTTCTATGTAGTGAAATATTAGAAAAAAAGACTATGCCATTGTTATGTCTTGAATCAGCTGGTTTTGCTTTTCCCAACAATTAAAATACATAGGAGAATATCATATAGGAAGAAGGAAAAAGGGTTTTTTAATTAGTAATTGCTCATCACTACTAAAAGCGTGTTTCTGGTGAAAAGAACTTCAGAAATGTTGAGGGTTATTTTTGTTTGTTTTAGTTTATGTGAATAGAAACAGAAAAGGGGCCATTGTAAAAATCTGGATGAAACAAGCAAACCAAATGATTCAATGTTTAATAAAATATAAGCATAGAAAAGTGGCATAAGAAGGCTTTAGCTGTATTTTTACAAGAAAAACAACGAAACCTGCTTCAGACTTAAGAGACAGAATCATTTCGCACACTGACTTTTTATCCCCGGATGCTTGTTACTCTATTCCTGACGGAAGATAGTTCTTCACTGAACAGCCAGTGGAATTTAACTTGATCCATTTAAGTGCAAAATTAGCAAATTTAACCTAATTGGTGATTAAATGTTTTGCAGCCATTGCTGATTCTAGTGTAGCAGAACAGGGAGAACTTGCATTTCTGCTCTTTTGGCGGAATTGTGACACTGAATTAAATGTTATACTTATCTAAAGATAGTGTAACCAGAATACCTCTATAGATATTTCCTTTGTAAAAATAAACAATAATGCCAATAGGGCAGATATTTAATATTTGACACCACTGAATCCACATCTGAAGCAACTGTGAGATACTAATTCTTTAAGACAACTAAAAGAATTCGATTTTATACAATGTAATTCAACTGATATCATTTCCCAAACACAAGGATATAGTGATAGATAGCTTTCCACACCATAACAGATTTGCAAAGAACATGCCGTTGGGAATCATGCCTTCACATGTCAGTTATAGGATTAGAAGTCTAAATGCCTATGACTACAAAACCAAAACTACCAGAGTCAGAAAATAAATATAAATGCATACCAAAGCAGAGAAAACATGGAATAACAAAAGCTAGTGCTAAAGGCTATCTATAGTATAGAATATACTTGTTAAAGTAATATGGCACAAACGCACAGACTCTGTAACAGTCCATATAATATTTAGCAAAACTTGTAAATGATTACATAAAGCCAAGAACTGCCTCTTTGTTAGAATTATTTGTATTCAAACTATGTGTTTTGATTTAACTCTGGGAGGCAACTGAGCACTACACAGCTGCTCACTCATTCCCCCTCCTGGTGGGATGAGGGAGAGAATCAGAAGAGTGAAAATGACAAAATTCGTGGCTTAAGATAAAGACAGTTTAAGCAGGTAAAACAAAAGCTGTGCACGCCAGCAAAGCAAAATGAGGAATTCACTCCCCACTTCCCATCGGCAGGCAGGTGTTGACCTCCAGGAAAGCAAGGCTCCATCACACATAATGGGCACTTGGAAAGACAAATGTCATAACTCTGAACATACCCACCTTCCTTCTTCTTCCCCCAAATTTATATGCTGAGCATGATGTCATATGGTGTGGAATATCCCTGTGCTCAGTTGGGGTCAGCTATCCCAGCTGTGTCCCCTCTCAACTTCTTGTGCACCCTCAGCCCACCTGGTAGAGGACTGGTGAGAGGAGCAGAAAAGGCCTTGACTCTGTGTGAGCACTGCTCAGCAGCAACTAAAACCTCCCTGTATTATCAACCTTGTTTTCAGCACAAATTTGGAACATAGCCCCATACCAGTTAGCACAAAAAAATTTAACTCTATCCCAGCCAAAACCAGTAAACTATATCAGCTGAATAATTAAATAATCTTTTTTAAAGAAGTGGTGCTATATTTTAAAATAATTATCTGAAATCAAGACATGAAATTTATCTACAAATCATTGCACATATAAAACCTCAGGCATTTCTAGACTTTCTAACAAAGAATGTAATATGAGGCAGTGAAATGCTGGGGTTTCAACCCCAAGCCCCAAATTAAGGCTGACATATGGGTGGTTCCCACAGCTCTTCACAAGGGAGGGGTGAGTTTGCCTTTAGGCTTCCCTCCAGGGTGCGGCCTGCCTGGTAGACAGAGCCATTGGGGAAATGAGCCCCAGGTGTTGGCATTAAGTAAACAAGGGTCAGGTGTCCCACTTAGGGATAAAAGCTGGGACCCCTTGCAGGCAGGGGCAGTGTCTGTCAGTGAGGTGGATGCCCTGTGCAGAGTTCCCTGTTGGGGAAGGACCTCCTGCCTCCCTGGGACTGGGCTCCAGTCAGGTCTGGCTTTTATAAACGTGAGCTGTATAGAGATTCAGTATGTGGCTTCCTTGGTCTTATGTGTTTGGCTTGTTGACTCAATTCTCTCCTGTCCCTTCTATGGCAGACTGTACTTCACCATTTATTCCACCCATTGTTGGTTGTGTGGTGTAGTTGTTGGGTTCAGTGGGATTGATGTCAATTATGTCTAATCTGACTTGTTTGTACCCCCAGTGCCCACCCATGTACTGACCCTTTTGTATCAAATACAATTTGGTTATTTGGTTCATCTTTATGCTGGCTGTGTCCTCTATGCTGGGCCTAATAATTGGCAAAACAGGCAGTGGTGCCTATTTTTGAAAAGAAAATAAGATAAAAAAATTAAACTTTACTTTTCAATGTGAAATCTGCACTAATACCCATTAATTCTCAACTTCAACTATCCCATTTTTCTATATATACTATAGTAATAGCATATAAATTCATCATAGGAAAGAATTACCTGAGAAAAGGCCATGCTGATTTTGGCAGTGAATAAATATTCAACAAGAATTAGGTACCTACTTATTGATTTGGATATAGACACATTTTCTAATTGAAAATGCAAATTCAATATGTTGTTTTATCTGCTTCTGTGGAATATTTATAACTGACAGGCACAAAATAATATTCACAATAAAACTGGAAAAAAAAAAAAAAAGAAAAAATACGAAGTCAAATTTCCAGAAAACTGAAAATGTTGAAATAAGGGTTGCCTAGGAAAGCTCCATCTGTTCCATCTTGCATGTCTGTGTATGATAAAGTGTATAATTATATGCAATATTTACACTCCTAAATCCCAGCTAATTCCACACAAGGTTGGCACTATTCTTAATTGGCAGCTACTCACTATTTTGATTTCACCTCATTATTTTCTTTGCTCTGCATTTACTGTAGCCTGTTAAAACCTTGCTTTGAAGACAGTTCTGTCAGTTTCCCTCTTGGCTTCCATTCTTGTAAGTGTTTATTATTTAAGTTACACAGCTTTTTGTGACTTAATTTTCAAAATACTTTCAGTGTCTTTATATCATGTGATACTGTTTTTACGCTACTGAAATGGAACTGAAACACAGAAATTAAATTGTTCACTAATCTTTGATACTTATCATATTTTCTCTGCTTATTTTCATTAGTGAGAAGTTAATTTGCATAGCAAGTTTAAAATGCCAGAGTCTCAGAAACAAACAATAGAGCCTACCGCATCCATATAGGCTTTCTTTTTACAGTGACATTTTTAAGCTCTCATTTTTTAGTTCTTCAGCAGTGAGCTACCCACCTAATAGAGTCCAACAGTTTGAATGCAGACAGACTTTGGACAGACAGGAGCACCCTAATTTCAGCAAAATTACATTATTCAATGCTAGAATGTAGACACTACGTTCTCGAGCAGAAGCAACAAATGGTGTTACAAGATATAAAACTGAAATAGGGTGCTGTGACCTTAATTGTTTGATAAATGCAATGAACTTCCGGAAAGTAAATTCCTGAAGTGTGTAATGACTAATACAAAATAAAACTGAATAGTAAACTAAAAAAAAAAATAGTCAAACATATACTACAATGTGCTTAACGAGGTTCTCCCCATTCAAAGAATAACTGTTCTGTATGTTTTCTGCATAAATAACTCCCCCTCCAGTTTAAGGAGAGGTTGGAATAAGAACTTGTTTCATTGGGTTTTCAGAAGTAATGTATACTTGGTTAAAAAGTTATTAGGATTGAAAAGTTTAATCAGAGGAAGGTCCAGTCTTCTTGGTTCATTTAATGCACTTATGACCATGAAGATCAGTTTAAATTTGGGACTCCCCCAAAAAGATTTAAATTAATATAAAATAATTGAAAACAACCACAGGAGAAGTCTATCTTAAAACATACTTGCATCTTCCTGTAGATGTGATTTTTGATGTAATATTATTAGTTTAATTCATATTAGTTTATTTGGAAAACTAGCAGAAGGAATGCCTGTCTAAATTACTTTAGGCTTTCCAGGCAATGAATACTCAGATTATCATTAGTGTGATTTGATTTTATTCAAGTGTAAATATACACTTGAATGAACTATTCCAGTACTTTCTAACAGTAAGTAAATGCTAAGTTCACAAAACAGGACTGGCTGGGATGGAGTTAGATTTCTTCATAGCAGCCTCTATTGTGCTGTGCTTTGGATTTTTGGCTAAAACAGTGCTCATAACACACTGATACTTTGACTGTTGCTGAATTGTGCTTGCACAGCATCAAGCTTTTATCTTTTCCCCTGCTCTGTCCCCCAGTAATTAGAGTGGGGATAGGCAAGGAGTTGGGAAGGGACACAGACAAAACAACTGACCATAATTGGCCAAAGG